ATATAAAAAGATATATGATATATATATATATATATATATATATAAGATATATATGAACAAGATTTTCTGAAAAATGTCTCTACTACCAAACACTTGGAGATGTCAAAACAGATGTGACTTTAACTGTAGAGCTATGCTTACAAAAGCATGAGAGAAATCTCCTGGGAACTAAATCAGACCAGGGGTGAGTGAGCAGGTACCATTGTGGCCCACAGTGGAGGGGGACAAAGGAAAAATCATGGCCAGTCTCAGCCAACTGGGAATTTACCAGGAAAAAAGTTCCTTCAGTGAAATGATGAGTCAGGGAGCAAAAATTCACCCACCAAAGAAATAAATCAAGAAAGAGAAAGATGGAGAATACTGATTGACATACTGGAGAGAAGCCAAAGGAATCCTTGGGGGAGGGGAAAACAAGAGTTGACAGCTGGCTCCATGCAAATGGAAAATAGTCAGGGCTAGAGAACTTCAGAAGGTTCAAAAAAAAATCGAGAACACTTATTAAATTAGTATAGACTTTGGTGTTTAGTTGGGGGCATTTTCACAGACATTCCATAGAAAACTAAGAAACCAGTAAAACAAACAAACAAAAATTATAGCAATTTTTGTGCAAAAAAGACAAAAGACTCTTGTCCCATTTCTGGAGGAAGAAATATTGTACACAAAGGGCGAGTGCCTGAGCAGGCCTCCTGGGATTCCCCATTGGTGGATTTTCATGGGTCATGCCTCATTCTTCCCAGTCATATCTCAACATGGGTATCAAAGTCAGATAGCTTCCCAGGCTGGAGCCTCCATGTCAGGCTAAAACTATGACCAAATATACCTGTGGTGATCTTTTCCTATTGATCTGTTGGCAATTTATTTCAGAAGACTCAAATACCAAAAGTTGTCAGACCTGGGGACGAATGCCTTTTACCCACTGAGCCAACTTGTCAGCCCAAGTTCCATTTTTTGTTTACTTTTTTTGTTTTTTTGTTTTGGTTTGGTCTTTTTTTTTTTTTTTTTTTTTTTTTTTTTTTTTTTTTTTT